TATGAAAAATTTAAGACTACCCACAGGAAATGTCACACCTGGGTGTTTTTGTCGTAATTTGAATCTGTGCATCTCTCACAATGTGAAAGAAGGTGATGAATTTGTCAAGTAGTATAAGAAAGAAGAGGAGGAGGAGGAGAAGTTACAGTAAATTTAATCCTTCCGCTAAAGTCTTCCTCCTTCCCCTATTCCTGCACCCCAGAGACCAAGAGGCATTTTGGGAAAACACTGGTAGGAGTATTATTTCGTCATATGAACTGTCATTACGTAGCTTGAACGTAGGCCTGTTGGACAACAAATACACAAAACATATGCTATCTTTTTTGAGGCTTAGGTTGAGATTTTCAGGAAGCAGTACCTCAGTTTTCAGTAATTTTTTTCCCATTATTTGTTCTTACTTGGAATAAATACATCATTTCTCTCCATGTCAGAGGGAAAATCCTGTCTTCTTATTGACAATAGAAGGTAACAGGATAATCACAGTAATGATAATCTGATGTCATTTTAGATTTAGCAAGAGCAGATTATCTGTGACCCAGATAAAATAACTAGAAATTAAATTTAAAAACAGTGGGTTTCTAATCTCATTTCCAAGGTTAAAAGATCTCAACACAACCAGATGTTTCTGTGGAATAGACTAATCTTAAACCCAATTTTAAGGGATTACCTTTGATTATTTTTAGATTTAACTTTAGGCATATGTTTATAAGTTGGTAAATTTTTAGTCAAATCAATATTGAAATTAAACTGTTTTCAAAGCAATCTGCTTTGAAGCGTTCTTTATTTAGGGAACAGATTATTCTAATTATTCCTTACTTAGCCTGGTTAGCCTTTTTCTGTTTCTGTTTCCGAATGAAATGGATAGTGATGTTGTTATTAATGTAATTGATGTTGTCAGAATTTCTTATTGAGCAGCAGTTCACACACAGCCAAGAATAATGTCCGTTCTGATGAGCACCAATACTAACAGTGCTGGATGATTGTATTAGTCATGTTTTCAGTCACCGGGCTTGGAGAGAGTTCATCAAGAAACGCTAGAACAGCTGGTACAGCGCCTTCTGGTGAGGTTCTGACAGTGAGCTATTGTATACCATGACACTGCTCTGACAGTTTATCTACATTTTGTATACAAGCATTTTTGTTTTCTGGGCACCGTGGAGTTTATATAATAGCTTAAGCTTTTGATGGCGTCTCTGGAGCATAGTGCTTTTCTCAGTTGCGGTGAGGTTGAGGGTAGGGCGGGGAAGATGTATTTAGCTGTGGTTTTGTGCTTTTAAATTCTCAAAGAAAAAAAGTGAGCTCTTGCATTTGCTCACAGGTACTCTTGTGGGACTCTACTTGAATTACCAGAGCTAGCTTAAAGTAAAGCTTTTTAAATTAAGAGGGAAAATGCTCCCCCGCGCGGGCCCCCCCCCCAAATACTGACCCATGGTTCCTTAAATAAATACAGAGAGAATCACAAATGCAGGGTGATTTCAGTTTAACTTGGTTATCTTATGCAGTGAAAAGTATTTTATGTTCAAAATGTTAAATTAGTTTAAATGAGATTATCTATTAAATAGCATTCTCCTTAATCAGACAATTAGTGGGCTTACCTGCCTTTTACTATGTATCCAGAAATGTGTCCTGAGATTATTAATCCTTATAATTAAATTTTGCCAAGTATCCCACTGAATCAATGTGGTGAATTAGCGGCATTCAGTACAATCTGTGTACAAATTATGTTTGGTTTACTCAGCTCTAAATCAGCATTGCAAATATGGAAATTATTGCTAATTATGCAGAACCCAACTCACTTACATTTCTACAAAAGACGCTCTGTATAGCATTTTGTTTTCCTTTCTGAATTATATTTTTTGTTTAATAAAAACAAAGTGTATTTAATAGAATACCTCTACTTGTAATATTATATGACATATCTTCTCAGTAGCTTTAAAAACCTAGAAAAGTCATTACAATTTAAAATGTCATTTCTTTTATGCTTTTTAATATTACATACTAATATTGGCTAAGTATTATTTCTTTGAACTTGAATACATAGAAAACTCTAGAACCTGGGTTCCCCTGTGCCAAACAATTAGTTTAAATACATACTAAGTCACATTGCATGGTATATAAAAAGCATTCTTTTAAAAAATGCCTGCTAGCATCAAAATTATTATGTGTGGAATTATATTGCTCTTTAGCATAATATGTTCCTGTGTGAAAAATGTATATATATTGCATCATCTGTCTGCTCAGTGTCATAACTTCCCTGTATATCTGATAACGTTAAAAGTAATTTAAACTATTTAAATCTATTTCTAGAATTTCTTCCATAGGAATACTGCATTTTAATTTTCTCAAAGCATTACTAATTGCTTGAGTGATTAACTCAATGCTTTTTTTTTTTTTTTTGGTGAAAAAGTTAAACATTTATGAGTTTTCATTTTACTTGCAATTTTCCACATTCACTTTATTTTCTCATGTTCGGAATCTACATGCATTTTTTAAAATCTGATTTAAAACATTACTGTAGAATTGGAGAAAACACTGAATCCTGTATTTACGGTTAATTTGTAGACCTTTTCTACAATGATTCATATGCTTCTGTCACATGCTGTCAATATGTTAGTTACTCCCTAAATCTCAGCCAGAGAGGCCCATTACCATTAGCCCATCTTACTTATTATGCTGGTAACCAAAAATCTTTTTGAAAGTATAATTTTGTATTAAAAATGTAAGAGTAGTTGACAGGGAGTGTTGATTGCAAACATAGTTTCCAGCTGTTTCAAATATTCAGTTATAAAGCTTACTTACATAGTATGTTATTGCATATAACCATTCTCTCTGGCATTCTCTGTATTTTCTTGTATAGTTATCCTGTATACTTGACCACTTTCACTAGACTGTCAAGCTCCTTGATGCTAAGGACCGTGTTGTAATAGGTCCTTAGTAGATTTTTGATAAATGGATAGATGAGTAAATGAGTCGTGGTGTATGTTACATAGTACTTATTTTCTCAGCTGGATTGTAAGCCCCTTGTGGACATTGGATTTTATCTGTGTAAAATAGGCCCTGTCATTTTATTGTTTGTTATAAAACCCACTTTTTTTACTTAAACATGTTTTAAGTTATATTCTGATGTAATTGAGATTATATCTCTAAGCCCTCTCAAAAAGAGCATAGTAGGCAACATCAGTAAAAGGTAGGACTGCTGTTTATTGAGGAGTTAAGGGTTTTAGTCACTTTCCTAAGGTTTTAGTTTTAGTCACTTTCCTAAGGTTTTATACAGCCAGAAAGTAGCTTGATGAAGAGAAGTACAGGAATCATATTGGAAAGAAATTTTCAGTGACTGCACATGTAAGATCTACCACCTTCTCCTTTGGTTCCATGATTGATTAAATGTTTCTGTGAACTTCAGATCTCTAATAAGAGATATAGCTGGTCCTCTCTTGGTGGATAAATGCTTAAAGTACCAGTTATTTCAAATGAAGAATATAGTGAGTTCTGGCTTCAAAGGAGGAGAGAGAGCTGTGATTCACGGGAAATGTTCTCTCTTTGAATTCCAAAGGAAAAAACTAAGGAATCACGCTGTTTCTGTCCATGTTCAGTTAGTTTAGTGCTGGAAACATACATCGGGTATCTACTTGGAACCACGTATGCTGCTAGGTGCTGTGAAAGATGTGAAGTTAACTGAGCTGCTGTCCATTCATTGATGAGAGGTGCTAGGAAGTCAAGCCAAAGTCTGTCTTAGAATTAGTAGTAGTAGTAATAGATAAAACAGGTGTATAATCTCTCGTTGTGAAAAAAGTTCCTGAGTGGTTTTTAACTCCAGATTCAGTCAACAGTCATTGAATTAGGTATGTGCAACAGACCAAAGGAAGAATAAAGTGTTCAGGTGATCATCGAGGTTACACAGAGCCATTTTCATGTCTTTGTGATAGAATGCTCTTAACTTTCATCGAGTTGGCAGTTCGGCAGGTCTAGAAACTCCATTTTGGAAATGTTTCCAGAGTTAGGCCAAGAGATCGCGACTGTGCCTTCCAGACTCAAAAGCGTTGGTCGTATAAACCAGATTGTTTGTTCCCTCATGTGGAATTGTCAGGCGTGCCAGAGGACTTTCGGCATATTCCTTGTCCTGCACAACAACGTACGTGGCAGCGTTGCTTGGTGAAAACGAACCCAAAGCAGGATGAGTCAGTTGAATGGATTGGATCGTCAAGCTGTGTGTTCCGAGAGGGTTAGTTGTCTGGTGATAAATTCTTGCTCTTTGTCCTCCACTCTTACTACTAATTTTTCCAACAGACAGTAAATACTTTCCTATCCCTTTCTGTTAGGAACTACCCCGCCCCCCCCCCATTCCAGATATAATCTTACTAGTGTCTTAGACTGAACCTGATCGTTAGGGTAACATCAGCCAGCAGGAGAAGATAAAGGATCAGTTGATGAAATAGGTAAGGTCCATAGAAGTCCTGCTGTTCCTAATTTATTCTTTTTTAGAAAATAAACTTCCAGTTTTTAAATATAGGAGAGCATTCTCATATGTCTCTTAGTTATGCAGACTGTTGGAAGTTTTAGATATTTTGATCATTAGACCATCAACGCGACATAAATATTTTTCTGAAGATAAGATATCCTGATTGAAGATGACCTACTATAAAAACTTGTTTCTTATCATTCCTTGAAGAATGAATTTTTCTGGATAGCTAGCTAGTTTTATAAAGCACTAAGAATTTATAAATTATACTCCTTGAAGATTATCTTACTGGTCACTGGCGATTTTCTTATTGGTCATTTCCTGATGGTCACTAAAGGTATTGAATCTTTTATATTGAGTTAAACTATCTGCACCAAAATCTATTTTAAATGCACTAAAAACGTTGGTTTTATTTCCCAGCTTCATAAAACAAAAAGTATATTAGGGGCATCTGGATCGCTGTCGGTTAAGCGTCCGACTCTTGCCTTCAGCTCAGGCCATGATCTCACTGTTGCTGAGGTTTTGCCCCGCTCGAAATGCACTGAGAGCGTGGAGCCTGCTTGGGGTTCTCTTTCTCTGCCCCTCCCCCACTCGTGCACGCCTGCTCGCTCTCAAAATAAACCTAAAAACTATATCAAACCTCATTTGGCACTTTTTGAAATAACTTATGGCTTCAGTGTTCCTGCCGGTAGTAACCTCTCTGCTCCTCTAAGTTTGCAGTTCCTGCTGTGTTTACGAATGTGATGGTGTGATAACTCGTGTTGTTCTGAGTACGCTCTAGAAGTGCCCGTGACATGTTTGTGACCTGTTTGGCTGTTCAGATACAAATTGCACATTTTTCTTATAACCGTATGCTCGATAGCTGGGTTTCAGAGAGTTATGCATTTGCTATTTCTAGAGGGAAAAGAGTGGTCTTCTTTGTCTAGCCTCACAAATCCTGTTCAAAAAGTCATGGCAAACATCACATTCATGGATAGAATGACCGTCTGTTTATGATCACTCAAGAGGTAGTATTCTAGGGGCGCCTGGGTGGCGCAGTCGGTTGAGCGTCCGACTTCAGCCAGGTCACGATCTCGCGGTCCGTGAGTTCGAGCCCCGCGTCGGGCTCTGGGCTGATGGCTCGGAGCCTGGAGCCTGTTTCTGATTCTGTGTCTCCCTCTCTCTCTGCCCCTCCCCCGTTCATGCTCTGTCTCTCTCTGTCCCCCAAAAATAAATAAACGTTAAAAAAAAAAAAAAAAAAAGAGGTAGTATTCTACTTATTACTTGAACCAGTTTCTGGGAAGGTGTCAAAAGCACTTGAAAATAAAAGCTTTTCCCACATGAAGTCTAAATCCAGAATCTTTGAAGATGAATCTTTTATCGCCACAAATAAGTTCCTCAGAGTCTTAATCAAATTGTAAATTTATGCATAGTAAAAAATTTCATACAATACTAGCTGTGGTAGTCTGACTTTGTAATTGCCTGCCTTCTCTCGAAATGGTTTTTAAGTATTATCCCTTTGCATCCATTTATTTACCTGTCCTAAGAACCCTGACAGATTTCTGTCCAATCGTTTGCTTTGCATTTTTGCACACGTTGCCTTCAGTCTTTTGGGGCATCCTGTCACCCATCCGTGCCAGGAAACCGTTAGAATGACTTCCTTCACTTTCTCTACAGATGTGGAAGCAGAGGCCCAGCCTTCCTCTAAGCCCATGATCAAGGTTCTCATATATTTGCAGACTGTGTTGTCACAAAGTAAAACATTATTTTGAGGAAATTATGCAACAGAACTGAGAAAAGTTAGTTATAAATAGACTTGTCATTGGATACCATGAATTTCAAAGCATGATAGGAAAACTGATGAATATGGAATATGTGGCTAATCTACCATCTTGCCACAAATTCCTGGGAAATATGGAAACGGAACACTGCTATTGGTTGCTCTGTCATCTAAAAAAAATCGATTTATTTTCTCGTATGTGGGCCAACCGTAGTTCTTCAACGGTTCATACGTTAAGGACTTAATATTGTGAGATGTTGATGTAACTTCTACAAAGAGATTTTTATTTTTATTTTTTTTTTAATTTTTTTTTTCAACGTTTATTTATTTTTGGGACAGAGAGAGACAGAGCATGAGCGGGGGAGGGGCAGAGAGAGAGGGAGACACAGAATCAGAAACAGGCTCCAGGCTCTGAGCCATCAGCCCAGAGCTCGACGCGGGGCTTGAACTCCCGGACCGCGAGATCGTGACCTGGCTGAAGTCGGACGCTTAACCGACTGCGCCACCCAGGTGCCCCTCTACAAAGAGATTTTTAAAGTCAAAGTGTTTTTTTTACCAGTATCGTTGGGAGAGAGTTCTACAACTAGATGTTCTTGGAATTGGAGTTGCCGTCCCAGACTGTGCGTGCATAGTGCTGCTTAATAACAGTACAGTTCACCTGCCATATGTGAGCAAGCTATCAGAGGATAAGAGGGAAAGTTCACTAACTCTTTGGCATATTTAAAAGAACATATTTCCTTTTGTACTACTTTGAAATGTGTCTAAAACATAAAATATATATTTAAAAGAAGATCGTGTAATTTGTGTTCTGAGCATTTGGCTATTATTTATTGCAGTTTCTCAGTCTAGTGATAGGATTTCTGTATATATGAATGGAACCAGCATGTCTAGAAGCTGTCTTCTCTTTGTTGACTTCCTTTGCTTACATATTTGTGGTAGAGCTTTATGGAAAACATAGAATGAGAAATTGTATTATTAGGAAGAGACTGGTTTTTCTGTTGAAAAAAAGAAGAAATAGTTTCGCTTTACCTTTCAAGGTAATAGATGCTGTAATATGGCAAATGCATAGATTGCCTTGTTGAATTTGTGTTTGTTTATAGAAATCCAGAACCAGTAGCACTCTGGCTCTTGGCAGCTTTCTGTTTATTAAGTGCCTTTCATTTGTCACTTTGGTATTTATTTTATAGCACATATATCCTGGCAGTTGAATTAAAAATAGATCGTAGACTTTTAAAAGAATTATCAAAGAAAGCAAATGTAATAGGTTATATTTTAATAAAGTGAGACTCCTACAATTTTTGTGAGGTTTTGTAACTGAATACATTTTTTTGGCACAATGTAATGTTCGTTCTGTTTTTGTCAAGGGAATTTCAGCAATGTATGCAGTTAATTTAAAATTCTTAGTACCCATATGTAAACTGTTGAAGTCTTCAGAATAGTCTCTGAATATGATGAAAAGCATCATAAAGTAGATACAGAATAAAGTCTTGATAACTTTGTTACATCTGAGTATAATTTTTCTTTAATTTTTAATAGGATACAACATCTATTGAAAAGATGTCAAACTGTTGTGAAGAAATGTAAGTATAAAAATGAAATCTGTAGTGCTCTTATTTAAAAATGGAAACAGCTGGCCACATTTGAAAAATGTGTGCATGTGATGGAAAGATAACATAATGATGGCTTTTTCTTGGTGCCTTGTCTAAGGCCTGAGCTAGACAAGCATAATCCAGTCTTACAGTAGGGGTCTTCAAGCCATGCGAGTTTCCCAACAAAATAAGTACTGGTCGTTCTTGTTCCTTGTCTAACTAAAGTAAGTTAAATTATTTGTCCCGAAAGTACATCAAAAGAGATTTGCTACTGTGTCGTTGACACACGCTCTGTTAATCCTGAGATTCTCCTCTGCTTCAAAAGTTCCCCTAGGTTGATTGACGACACAGATACAATATCTGCTATCCAGAGTTAAAACTCAGCTGCATGCCATAATGAAAGAAAAGCTGTATTTGTGATGCTGGGACACAATTCATCAGAGTCCAGTAATGGATCCCCAGCCAACCTGCATTGTTTTAGCTGACTGAAGTGCACCATGGGAGTGCTGTCTTTCACTAATAATGCTGTCTTCTGTAGATCGAGGCCCCGAAAGCCATGGCAGCAGACCTTCTCAGAAGTTTTTGGCACTCGTTGGAAGATCCTGTGGTTTATTCCTTTCAGGCAGAGGCAACCACTGCGAGTTCCCTACCACTTTGCCAATCACGTCTAAACAGATGGATGGTGGGCACAGATGGGTCCTCCATGCTGGAAATGCGTTACAGGTTTTCTGATAATAGAACTATGACAGTCTTCAAGTCAATTAAAATCCACCCACCAATCTTAGGCGTCATAATGTGCCCCAGGCTTTATTTTAATAGTGATCTTGAATCCTGTTGTGGGACTAATACAAGATCTATATTTAAGTTTTAAAGCATGTTTACTTTCAAATTAGCTTTCCACGGGGATTTCTTGAAATGCTTTTGTTATTAAACCCAAAAGGCAGTGATTGAGATAAAATAATTGTACATAATTTTTTTTCTTTTTTTTTTTAGTACTGACAATGTTGCAGATTTTAATTTATGGGAAATTTCAGATGTTTATTTAAATTTTTCACTCTCAAACAGTACTAACCAAATCTGAATTTAATTCTTCAGGTTTATAAAAGTTGACACACCTTATAGTATATGCAAATTTTCTTTTTCAAATGCATAATAATTTAAATAATACTGCCTTTTTTATATGCTGCAGGATTTTTTTTAATGCAGCATAGAATTGAACAATAAAACAACAACAGAAAAAGGGCAGTGTTTTCTTAGAAGTAGCTTTCTAATGTTTTCTGTTTTTCTCTTCACCAAAACCAAAATAAAAACGCCACTAAAATAAAACACCAACTACCTACCTTATTTTCAAGGCAAGATTGATTTTTTTTCCACATTAACTTTTCCATTTCTTTTCCCTATACTGATGTAATTATTGGTTGTTGTTAAAATAATTACTCCAAGGTGAAATTTTTGACCAAGCGGGCATGTATATTCTATTTTACCCTAAGATTTTGATGAGCAAAAAGGGTAGAGAATTTGCAATAATTCCACAGATACCTTTTCTAGTACGGTTATATTACGCGTATGTTTTTAAAGTGCTAGTATAACTAGATAATATATAATGTACAGTATAAAGAGGAATATTGTGCTTTTGAAAAACAAATATATACTTTTTACTTTTACTTACCTACTAGTAGATCTAAAATTACACACTCAAGGTTTGTATGTAATAGATATTGGGCAACTAAGAATGAAATCTTAGTTATAGGAAGTCGCTAGTAAAAGTAAGTTAATTTTTGTGTACCTATAATCACCCAAATTGCAATTGGCCAACTATAAGTTCGGATTGAGAGACCTTTTGTACTTAGTACCTAATGTTAGGAAATGACCTTAAAATAAGAAAACGTAATGATCTACATGATTAGCTTCTACAAATTTAAATTGCTAATGGTGATGGTCTCTTGGAGAGCATAGAAGATTTGTGAGGAAAGACATTTTAGCATGCTTTGAGAAAAATTCAGCTTTTACACTTTTTTCCATTAGAATACTGCAAAATCCATATATCCTTTTCAACAATTTATGTCCTCACAGTCTTTCCCTTGAAGAGAAGATTAAAGGGGTCCACTGTTCTTGGAACATACCAGTATTTTCCTTTTAGTTAGTTTTGAGAGTAAGGAGTTAAACCTGAGAAATCATGAAACAGAAGATTTCCATTGTCAGCCAGTGAACTCTACTGTAGTTAGTTCTTTCAGGAATTGTAAATATCTTCTAAAATAATTGAATAAGCTGTTCTCAGAGATACAAAAACCATGTCTTTCATGTTCTGACTACAGTGCTTTATTATTTAAAAATTTGGAAGTGGCAGATGAAAATATTTATTGGTGCTGATAAGATGCATAGTAAATGTAATATGAGGAGTATATTTATAGAGCTTAGTGAACCACAAAATTAGTATGTTTGTTTGTGTCCAGCACCCGGGTTGGGTTTTGTGCAAGCTAACATAGTGACCACATTTGGTCTGTTGGCAGAACCGTTAAAGGGAAGTAACGTGTAGATATGTAGATATATATCAGTCAAATGCCTCATGCTGTGTACATTTCTGTCAGATGAGAACCTTGAGAAAAAACAAAGCCAACTGTAGACCCGCTAAAGAGCTTTATGGACATATTTACGCTTCACGTAGTAGCAGTAGCTACCTTGAAAGGTATATACCTGGGAGATCTCATTGCCGATCTCTGTCTCAGTAATGGGAGCCAGAGATGGTCCTCTCCCTGCCCTGAGGGTTTTTGTTTTTCGTAGATTTACCACTTCTGGGCACATTTTCCTCCCTCTTTTCTCTTTAACCTCCCTGTCCTCTTCCCTCTACCTGATTGCTCACAGTCATTGGGGTACAAACTGATACACTAGGCAAGGCATATATTTATTTTGTTTGAATGGCAGAAATGCTACGTATCAATCTATGTAAGAATCTATATTAAAGCCTATCTGTATACACTTTTGCTGTAATTTTCAGTGTGCTCAAGTCAGCACACCTAACTGTGTTTACAATTCTAGAGCGATGACTTGAAAGAAGCCAACCGGCAGTTTCCTGGGACGCATGGAGTCTAGTTGTGTTCTCTCTGCGCCCTCTTTTGGCTAACTAGTGTAATTATACTGGTTCTAGAGATTGATTGCCCCACAGTTCATTATTTGTATGGCCTAATTCTGAGCATGCCAGAGGTGCAAACTTAGGGGAAGTGTAAGTACAAAAACGTAAGAGTTTATGAAAACCAGTGCATTCCTGTTTATGATGGCAGTATCTGGATCATACAGATATGATAACTACTTTGGTTCATCCGTGTATATTATTATACTTTTTTACTAACCATTAGAAATTTATATCAGATCAGGGTAAACAAATGTAAACCATTTCATGAATAATATTTTAAACCTTATTTCAGCAAATTAAGTGCTTAGAATTAGGAAAGCCATTACCTAAAATTACCAATTCATTACAAAACACAGAAACTTACTGTAGTTACGTTGGCAAGCAAGTATCTAATGTGTTTTAATGAGTATCTAAAAAAATACATTTAGATTTTTTAATCTCAGTTTCAGAATGATTTTTTT